CTGCGGTAGGGAACGAACGCGCTATTGTCCTTTCCGGGGAGTAACGCGTTCACCACCACATTAAAAAGAGTAGGCACTAAATAATAAGTTAAGAGAATAAATGGTGTCGCGTGTATGACGCATCCTTCAGAGATTGATCAGAACCAAATGGCTTATCCTTTTTTTGCTTAGTGTATGACTTCACAATTCGCTATGAACATCTACTCCAAAACCAAAAAACTAAACTGTCAGGAAAAATGTCAATGTTTTGCTTAATATAATAGAACAAACTGGTTGGCAGATCTCTTTTGAACCCCTCGATGGCTCATCTCCTCTTTATAAAAGGAGGGTTGTGTTAACTGCGATTTATACCAATACTCATACTTCAGCAGTATTTTATAATCCAAATAGTTTGACATTTACACCTGGAGACCCAGCTATACCTGAACCTTGACGAAACCTCGGCAAGTTGGCCGTGACTATGTTTTCGGCAAGGGCAGTGAATATCAAAGACTTTTCAGAAAGGTACGACGCTGTTCGCACTTCTTCTATTATAGGAATAAGATGTTTAACGCTTACCCAATGACTGGAGAAGTTGTCGCTGATATTGTATTTCATCTTTATTCCTTTTTCAGTGCACCTAATTGCTTGTCTATCTGAGGTAAAAGCAACTTATAGGCGGCCAAATTTGTACACAATATGACGTATCTCTTACTCGAGGCACCTTTATTTTGTTATATAAAGAAAAGTTATCAGACAGGTCACCTCGCGCTGGAACCGTTGTAATAATTTTTCTCACCGAGCCAATTAGATTGATTTTGTAGTCCTTGTGCAATTGACAGCTTTATAGAAAGTACTCCCTGCCAATATACGCTGAAGGATATTGTAGTCGAGTGATTCGTTAGGCGAGATAAATGATAATTGAGAACTCGTAACTTCTTACCAAGTTCTGCTTATGAAAGAAACCGTTTCCATAAAGTTCATCAATTCTCATTGCAGCCAATTTGTTTCTTACACCAAAAAAAACAACATCTTTGGTTTTCCTTAATGCAATAATCACTTCCTTGATGATAAATTTTTTAATCAACAAATTTTTAACGAAGTTGGGTTTTTGACGACGGGTAATTATTCACTGATTCGCTGAATACTTTATTAGTACGGAAATTTGCAGATTTACAAAAGCGATTTTGCTTTATTTCACTAGTCACATAAATAATTTTGATGCAATGTCCTTTCAGTCTCAGGTGCGTTTAGGATTGGCACTTTCAAGACATCGACAGCGAAATGTAGAGAAATTGAAATGAGAATTGGACAGCTGAAAACAGAAACGATACAGTGAATAGCACCATCTAGACCTGCTAGACGCAATCTCACTAGTTTACTTGCCTTTGTGTTCGAAGTATGAGATTTAAATCAATAAGGTGGAAGAAATGCGTGTTGTAAACTGCAAAAATCATAAATTTAGCAAAGTGGCAGGTCCTTTCTTTATATTGTGGGAAAAATTTGTAAATTCTAACAGTTTTTATAACCATTAATGTAATTCAGTTTGAGCTAAGATGTGTAGGTTTAATGTTGAGAGCGACCACTATTTTGGTGTCATTTGACTCGTTAAGAGCTCATGTCGTCGTAAATGTGTTCGCGTCATCTGATCTGGCACGAAAGAGCAATGGTTATAAATGCAGTGCAATAAACACGTGGTCCCTGCATCAAACCCGTGTCGGTCTGGTATGTTCTCCATCACTTTTAGTGGGCAAATTGATGTTTGATAAAAGCTCTCTTCGATCTAGAAAGGTAGGTGACTACTCAGTGTAATGAAGACCTAGAATCGCTCTCTAGCATGTGCCTAAGATTCTGTGGGGAATCTACTCGAACATTATTCAGCGACATTAATAAAGGATTCAGAATTCCTTAAAAAAAAACAGCTAAATCCAAATACAAATCCAGGGTGGTTCAAAGAATGGCTAGTGTGGGAACTAACGTGCGATTGAAAGAAGTGTTGAGAAACGCGTAATATGTAATGTCGGATCATATAAATAGATGCACATCTAATCTGCGCCTTGGCCTCATTTTCTTCCACTGATGGTTTGTTTTTGTAACTCAGTCAACATACGCATTGTTGTAAAGCGAGACAACGCACATGACAGGCATCAAGATTTTCGTTTAACTCAATTCAATAGAATATATTCCATAATACCAAATCTGGCAATAATGTCGAGCAAAAAAATATGTTAGCCTGCAACAGTTTAACCTGCGCTCCATCTCGTATTTGAAGTTGTAGAGTATTTTCCTTAGAATTGAGTTATTTAAAAAATAATTACACATCATAGGTGCCAATAGAGAAATTCAAGTGAACATGAAGCCCGGGCGAGGAAATGACAAGAAGCCGCCTTGTAGAATTTTTCCACACGAACTCTTTGCTTCTAGCAATGTTGTAACGCTTCCCTTTTCTCGCTTTGTTTTAAGAAAAAAATCGTTCGTAACAGAAGGAAGAAAACAACAAGGCTAAAATCTCGATGCCATTCGAGGTGCGCTCACTTTAGTACAAATCCTATTCGTCTTAACTGGATTGCCAAAAAATGTATTCATGATTTTTCGTAGATTTTTATGTGAGAGCTAATTGACAATGATGCTCAACAAACGCTTGACAGCATGAAAGAAGCAAAAATAAAGGCAAAAACAGTGGCATTTGCAAAGGAATTACAGGCAGCAGTCTCCTAAAGCAGACAAATATGAAAAATAACGTAGTATTTACAGTGGGATTACAGTAATCCTATTAACTATGGATTTCTGTATATCTGACAGTTTCTTAAAAAGTTAAGCTGTATCAATTTTTGCATCGTATTACTTGAAAAATATTTATTCATGTGGATGATTGAGTACTGTCCAAGCGTCGGGTCGCTCCCAGTACCCCTTGATCTGCTACCGCATTCCATAGAGGTGTTCTCGTTCCGCTGTTTATTCGAGCACAACTTGAGGATCTGTGCGCTTTCATCCTCACAGACACACTGAATAGCTGAATGCGATTTTGTTTGGAAGCCTAGGATAGCTGGACTAAAGCATTTGTTAATGCTAGAAGCGACCGGCGGATTTCATGGGTTGAAGGAAAGTTTTCTTCCTTGTGAGTCCGAATTCTGGTAAAATAACAGTGATTTCTTTCATTTCTGTGGGTTCTCTAATAGAATGGTTTGCAGATCCAAGATGATTAAACACTGAAATGGAGAATTTGAAACGGAGCTTAAAAACGTTTGCCAAACTACCTCAAATGATGGAAACGACGGTGAAACTCTCTTAATGAAAGCGAGACGAACAAACTATCCGTATTTTTAAGATACCGATAGTGCAATTTTGCTCAGTCGTAGTTCAGTAAAATAGTTACTACTTCGTTGTAATCGCACTTTTTGGGAAATAGGCGTGCTTGAAAATGTCAAATTAATTTCCGTAACACTCTGCCATCGTTTCTTGACAAGATCTCAACGTTTCAGGACGTTCTGGAATTCCATTTATAACTGACTCCAGGCTTCATTTTAATTTCGTGAGCTGATTTATCTTGTTTCACTTCCCATTTTGTTGTCATTCACATTCATCTCGTCCAGTGCCGCCCACTCCAGGGAAGTCGGCCTCTCCCTCCTATTAGAGGCGGAGTGACAACTCTCGCACATTCACACATAGTATCATCGACTTTGGCACGCTTGTCAATCATGACGCTCTTGACTTTTGGTGAGCTGTTTTTATTCTTTTTGACTCATAACCATTCTCTCGAAGCACGGAAAATATTCTTATCAATGTTGTCACCGTTGTCATCTTTCTCATGGAGAACGAATACTATTTACTACAATGCAATTTTCTAAGGACTGTTGCTTTCGCTTGTCCTAACATCAATGGAGTCACCTATTCATGGAATATGGAATCGTCTTCCACAACTACCGGTACGAGGATCTGCTTTCAGTTACCTTTAAAAAAATAAAACCTCATTTTGGCTGAAGAACCAAAATACCTATACTTTTACCGGTTTCCAAATTTCATAAACTCGAGATTATACCATTAGAGCCTTTCGCTGCGAAGTGCATAGTAAGCTGATGCGGGAAATCTAAGTGCGTCTTCCCGACGGCAAAATAGGAGAGAATCGTTGTAAACCTGCTGTTTTTCAATAGTTGTGTCTCGTTTTCGAACTTAAAGTTTCACCATAATGCCAATTGGTCCCACCGATCTGCATTGAGTCTCAATAGCCTACTTATTAAATTGATTTATAATAAATGTAGTAGAACACGCCTAAAGCTATGAGAGCCGTAAGCGTGAGGGTTTTCAATAGCAGTAGTCTTATGGTCATGGAGAAAAAGAAGAAAACATCCTACACGGAGAAGCATGATACAGTCTGTGGTATATACGACCTATGCAGTAGTCCGCTCTTCATTCTTTGTTATAACGAAGCTCTCTTCACAGAGTACAAAACGGCTCTAAATTAAGTTACTACAGAGACTAGATTGTACAATGTTATTTGATATAGGACAGAAGCATGAACTAAAAGTGCTGAAAAATTACGAAAACCACCTCATATTTTCTTAATGAATGTGTTTTGAATTATCAGTAATGCAAAATTATTCAGAATTATTTATGACAATTGAGCCTTTCTTCAGTCGAAACGCTACTACGGGCTCTACCACCAGCTTCCGATTGCTGACGATGACCGTAACAAACGTAATGGAGCACTGTATTGGACACCACTTGATGAATGACGAATGCATTCACTTGTCAAAAAATCAAAAGAAGACGTTGTCATTACTCTATTACGCCAACATGACCTAATATTTTTGTTACGTAAGCGATCGTGTCCTCGTTCCCTAAAAAGGAATAATAAGTGACTCAAATCGTTTTTTTTTTATTCTTCGCGTATCTCAAGTCAACACCACCCTGAGCTCTACATCCAAACAAAATACAGTGATTTCATCAGGCAATCGGAAAGGGAGCTATTAGAATTCAAGCATTTATGTTCGCTTTTCTATTCAGTGCTTAGTGCGATATCGTTATGGTTGTGGTTCCATCACATAGCTACCTGCTTTAAAGCTTTTACAACAAATATCTGCTTCGAAGATGTTGAACAGCTCAGCTAGTTCGGAGTTCTCACGTAACATCACCACAGAGCGCTGAAATATATGAAAATCACTAAAATATTCATAAGAATTTCAATGCGAGGAGGCCTCCCCAAAGTACTCAGAATATGTGCGTGTGTATCTTACAGTAATTTCCCACTATGATAAACTGCATCGAAAAAAGGAAAAAAACGACAATGTGGAATGGTTTGTATTTGATGAAAACAAACCCAGAACCATAGTAGATTTAAAAGACTTACAGTAAGATGAGGTAGTAGAAGCATTAATTGACCAATTCGTTTTGTGATTTGATGTCCTTCCATTCCCATATATTGATAGTGTTGATGAAGCTCGTCAAGTAGTGAATCCTTGGTGAAATGAATGATCGCAATCGTATCTCGTGAAATATCAGCTACTGCTAAACAATGAATATCACTTTAGTGGATGATTTCCTACCTGTCGAGGACAAAGGTTTAGTGCATTGGTAAGAGATCCCGTGCAATAGCCACTTCATTATAGGTTCGATCTTCGATCGCCCGAGGTGAACCCAGTACCCTACATCCCTTGTGGTCAGAGAACTACTCCAATCTAAAACAGAAAGTAAAAGCACTAGCTTAGCACATCGGTGAAAAATTCTCACGAGTTACCATGCCAAATAGGCATTCAATCACCTTTACTGTGTTTAATGGCAGCTCCTAACTTTTTTAAGCACACCTAATTTTTCTTCGTGTGCAGAGTTGATTGAAAAATTCGTCCGTCAGAAAAGAGGTTTTTTGAGAAATGTCGAATGTTGAGAGTAGTTTTCAATAGACCATTTGAAGCATAAGATAGGTGTTTAATAAGCTGTCGACTGGACACAAAAGCGCATCAAATAAGCAGTCGGAAGAGCACGCATTGATATGAATCGATCCGGTCGCTTAATCATGGGGCAACCATGTGAGATTAATCAGCCCCTAGACATTTGTCTTGAAAAAATTGTAATAAACGGAACAATAACAGGACCACCACTGATAACTAAAGACGTCATGAGACATGCCTTCATTCCACAGGAGGAATCCAAGAATAGCAACGTACTCGATTTCCGTCAATTGAATTCGTCTCATATAGGGAATAATTACACACAGAATAAATTCCATAGACGGTCGAAAAACTCTGAGAAATGTGAGGTGATTAGATTAAATGAGTGTTTAACGAGTATATTCCAAGAATAAATAAAAGAAGATGTGTCGATTATACTTGGCGGCGTCGGTTGGCTGACTATGAACACCTCTGGCATTGGCATAAAAGGTTTCCAATTCCGAACTTTTTATTATACCTCCGTCTGGCATCAATAAGCAATCATTACCTAAATATTATTGCTACTGATTTTATTTAGGTGACTTTTCTTCTTGCGTAGGAAGAAATTTCATGAAAAGAAGAGCAGCAACAATCATACACTAAAAGATTTCTTCACCGGTTCTCAAAAATGTCATGCCTAGAGTCCCACAGGGTCGTAGTCATAGTATTAAAATATTTAGTGAAAACAACCCCTTTGCATGCTGGGATATTTAATGTCATCCTAGAAAGGAAAATCTATGAGTTGATGACCTCCTATGTATGTACAAAAAAGAACTTCTCTTTACAATGTTTAGTTATTGAAAACTTCTCTAGTCAATGACGTCATCTTTACTTCTACCCCTCTTTTACTATCCTTCCCTTCTCTCTCTCTTTCTTCCTCTCACTCTACCCCATTTTTTTGCCGTTGTTCTTTTATTCTATATGGCCTCATTCCTACTTATACCTAAGTACATAAAGGCTTGTAGTATAAAAATAAAGTGCCAAGAATTTAAAGCCTACACTCGTCTTGTCCAAACAGCCTGTAAGATTGGTACGCACGATCTGTATGAGACAAATAACAAAAGAAGTTTTTGAAGAGGATTGCCTAAAGAAGATTAGTAAAACTAAAAAAAACAAATAGGAATGATGCTAGCTCGAAATCATAACCTTCTGTGTGAACTGTAGCTTATCAAATGGATAAAAATAGGTGTTTACAATATCAGTGATGAGATGAGCTTCTAATTGGCAGACTTTCTTAGACGAATCAAAGTTGGATGAACGTAATTCCTAAAGCTGGGATTAAATGCTCAGAATCGTTAAGTACTCGAATAGAAATAATTCGATAATTTTGATGAAAATGAGATATTTTCGTCAGATTGAATGAGAAAGCTACATTTCTTGCTAAAACGTCAAACTCCTCCGCTTTGTTCTCCTTATCAACAAGTGCGGTAGTGGCTCGGCGTATTGTCAAAAAATGTTGATATCCTGAAATTCTGATGGAAAGGAAACAGTTTAACAAATGCGAATTATAATCCGAATACCTTGAAGCATTCTTGGGAGAATCACAACAGCGGTTGAAGTAGAGCCGTTCATGACGCTTGGTATCAATGATTGCTAGAGAATGTTCAGAGATATTAATTTAAATTAAACTCTGTGGACATTCCACCTTGTATTAACGTTGGAACTTTACTAGTATTACCATTTCTAGGATTCTGCTATTAGATGAGGATTGTGACAATCCGTTACGTGAGAACAGCGTCGTTTCAAATTTGGGAGCTTTCGCTTTGGTTAAATGAGTTTCCTGAAGAAGGATTTTTATAAGTTATGAACTAAGTGTAAAATTGAAAAGACTTATAAAAATGACTGAGCGACCGTCCACCTCATTTTTGCGAGGGTTCTTGTTTCGCTTTCCTATTTCATCTCGAGCGAATTGCACTCCTGAAAGAAAGGCATGTTGAATTTTCCAACTCTTCTTAAGCTTTCGACTAAGACTGTTATGAATGTGATAGGCATGTTATATCCCAAAAAAAGGAAATAAAGAGAAGAATATCCACGGATTAAGCCTAAGATTTTCAACTTATTGTGGCTCAAGCACAGTAGTTTTCTGTGCATCTGGAGAAAATTACCAACACACATCAATGACGTCATATGACATATTTCCAGTTGTAATATCTTTTCCTCATTTTTCCTTTGTATTCACGTCCATTTCTTTGTCTGTTTGTCAATATTTCTTCTCTCTTTCATAACTGCGCAGATTTGAATGCTACTCGTCTGCTTATTTACCTCAATCTCTCCGCCTCCTTTCATTTTTCGCTCTTCCTATGTCCTTTCCCTGCTTTACCTTGACGCTCTCACCTACTTAGTCGGAAGCTTGGATGGACAGCCCATCTTCACTGGTTGTGCGGCCCACGGCACAATCTCCATTTTTCGGAGTTTTGCTGGTTTAGCCATTTTGTTTCTCTGGAGTCCTGAGGTCAGCCTAGTTAAAATCTGACTCAGGTTGTCCCCATCACAGGCAGTTGCAATCCTTGTGGATGAGAGGGAGACCTGCGACCACACGATAAAATTTGATATCAGAACAATGGTGCATCCTGGTACTGGCTTATCCTTAGATAGGCTTTCTGTTGAAAACTCCGGGCTCCTTTTCAGCTTGGGAGACCCAGTCGGGGGCTAATCCCCCGCTGTGTAACGCAGCCAAACACCAAGAAAAACTCCCAACCACGATGAGGTGGCAAACTGTTGGGAGTACCGTAACACTCTCTATCTATAATATAACGTATTTGTCTTGTAATTTTACATCGGTTCTGCAAAACTCCTTTTCTGAAATTCTTAACGACCATCTTTGCCGTTTGTTTCCATCTGCATATTTAGAGGAGTATGGACACTTTGTTATCAAAAAGTGCTAAACTTGGAAAAAATGGTCTGAAAACATAGGACATATATACCTGATCTTTGCATGCCGACTTCAAGACATTTTTTCAGTCGGCAACTTCGACACATATTCCGCATCGCTGAAATTCGCTAACAAGGCATATATTCGCTCTACATTTAAAACATATCTACAACTATTTTCGAATCTTGAGAATCTTCGACGTTTTCTATAACTTTGACAGATGTGATCTCTATGAAAATATATGTTGCCCTGCATAGAAGAATTCTTGTCGTAAGGTGTCAAGGTTCCGTCATGTGAACAAATGTCGCCAAACAACTGTGGTGAAGATTTGTGACTATGCTACCCTCTTTAGTTATGAAAGCAATCTATATAAGTGGATTCAAGTAGAAGAAAAGGTATAAAGATTTCAGCCCTTAAGGGACGCGTCATGCATTTGACTGCTTTCGTAGCGTCGTAGATAGCCCATAAAATTGCACATGGGAGATTACCAACATATAAAGTCGGTTTTTTACTCTCCTAGACAAGTCAGTTATCGATTTATTGACCCCGGAGTGCCAGACGACTTCCTTGCTTCCTGGTGCGCGGGATTGAACCAAGGGGCCACCTGTTGCAAGCCACACTTAATTATTGAGCCGTGTACGGCTCTATCAATATTATAGGAGTAGAAAATGTTGGAATTTGAGCTGTACTGGTACTTTGCAGATTCGCACTAGTGATTTTATGAATTCTGCTGTAATGAAAAGTGAGCATGAAAAATCTTTCACTTAGGCTGCTTTTCATATGCACCTTGCTGCTTTTCTTCTTTGCAGTTTTCCATTTCCATCTTCTGCTCAGTTTCGCTTCGAAATTGAAAAACAAATCCAGAAGAACATCGGCATAGGTTTCTTTTAGAAGACATCGATCTTTTTCAGAGATTTCACCAACATTCTACCTACTAGGTAAGCTTATCGTTATTAGGCGATTACTATACAATCAATGCTCACTACGAGCTATAGAAGTGATGGAGATGCTCAAGGAATAGATGAAAGGAGGCGATATTCTCTTCTTTCCTTATTCAAAGCATATTCATACCATCTTTTGAATTTTCTCTCTTTTCCAGTAGTTTCAAAAGCATGTTTGCCAAAAATTTAAAGGTTATTCAGCCTTGCCTTATTTCGGATTTGTAGTGCTTTCACACATCAACATTTTCTCTAAATCGTTTATCTTTCATGTAGTAGATGCTACTGTTCCAAAAAAAACTTCAAATCGCTCAAAACGTCAAGAATTTAAAACCTTTTTAGTATTCATAGTCCAGAGAAAATGGCACAGAACACTAGCAATAGAAATATAGCACATTATTCTCCCATTTAGTTGATGTGGAACCTCATTTCCGTGAAAGAACGTCTTCAATTCCCACGATGGCTTTTTCCTTGCAAAATCTTTTGCAGAAGAATAAATAATTTATGCAGAAGTCATAAAAATTTAACCGTAAATTACATTTTTCATTGTGTTTCTTTAACTATTAAGAAAGAACTTATTGTCAGGTTGCAGAAAATTAATAAGTCGCTATCATACTTTATTGAGAGTTTAATAGAAAAAACCTCTCTCAATTTTCGGAGCATCCATTATGTTGGACCATTCATATTGGTACGCACAGGAGGAAACAGGATGACTTATTCGATAAGTTGCTATGGTTCGACTCAATGAACTGTCCAAAACAGGTAGTAGAATTTCGTACACTGCTACTATCTGGTTCATAGCCAGGATGTAGAACTGTTTCCCAACCAGAATCGTTAAATGCTTGCGAAATTAGATGCACAATGGAAGTTCTTTCAAGTGAGACTAACTCGAGCACATATCTGTCGTTCTTTAATTTCCAGTAAGCCGGTGAAACTGATTTGCGTAAAGCTCCACGTCAACCCGCTCATCGCTCAAGTGTTTCTACTATGGCCTGCCAAGCCATCCCTGCCAGTATAACAGAAAAAAGACTTGAGCGCACGTGGTTCGGTATTACATATGGAAAAGGCTGTCTTCCTCTCGCTGTCAAAATGCACAGCCTATGTCGATCCGTTAAGATACTCAGCAAAGGTTGACATCTTTAGGTCGTTCAGGTGCCTTTCCCTTTGCGAGCATCTGCAGTTACTGAAAAACTGACACACGGTCAGCTTGATTTGCGTTCAATCACACAATCATTTGAAGCCAGTTGAGAGCTGGAAAGCGGTGCTCAACGACAGAGTTAGCGAACTAAACGCACTATCCCTAATTCTATTTCAAGTTATCTGGCAAATTGTTCACCAATTGATCCCTTCCTGAATCTGTCAATTCTCCTTTCAAAACCACATGACCTAGGTAAGCGCGACGACTTACGAAGTACGATGGAGTCTTGCACTGCAATTTTGCCCAGTAGGCGGATGATGTTGACAGGGTTAATAGGAATGCTGTTGAAGACAAGGCACTTATACTTGAAAATCCCTAGAATCCTATGTTTCCCTCATTTGTTCTTCTGGCTCTCGTTCGTAAACCCACCCGTTTTTATACCCTTGGGGAGAACTATCTGGAGTGCTCTACATAAACGAAAATGGCTCGCCTGGAGCAGTTTGTGAAACGATACAGAAGCAATTCCCAAGGCTAACTTTCTGTTAACCTTGGCATTGATTGATAATTCGATGTTTTTCTTCAATAAGCAGACACATGGTTGTTACTATAGAATTTATTAGGATACAATAGCTGACGTTTCGGCGGTTTCGCCTTCTTCAGAACCTGGAAAGGTCAAATTCAGATGCGATCTACCCAGCAAAACACTTTCATAACCCCAGCAGATAAAACTTAACAAATAAATTTGCATTCGCATAAAAAACACCTTCATTTAAACACCTACTGTTTATTTGTTGTAAGTATTTAGACGATTTTGTTTTGTTTAATTGAAGCTGGTTTTTGCGAATAATCTAGTGAATTTTGAAACTTTCTGCTTAAGGTTACTTCAGCATTCGACCTGATAGAATGGCGAATCAAAATTGACCCACCCACTATTCTCCTCCAAAGGGAGTCCTCCAAATACTGAACACAATAAAATTTAATATATCTTTCTACTTCTGTTCAGCAAACACGAGGTGCTATTTTATTTCTTTATTTACGCACGAGCTGACGTTTCGGCGGATTTCGCCTTCCTCAGAGCCGCTTTCTATGAGTCTTCCACTGAGTATGTCGCGTGAAGACTGACCGCGCAGAATCCACATGGAAGCGTAATGTGTATTGAATTTTAAAACAATAAGATTTCTTCGGCTTGCACTTCTTCAATTGCGCGTACATGGTGCCCTGTTTGCATTGAAGAGAGGCGCGTAGTAGTCGCGTTTCGATGTCCAGTACAAGTTGGCTGTCCCTTGGTAGGCAGCATATATCGTGTAGTCGTTTACGTTTGATGAAGTTCGGCACAACTCGGTGTTTCAGACAGTGGCATAGAAAGAGTATCGTTTGTCTAGCTAAGACAATTTTTTGTCTTAGTGACAGTATAATAACAACCTCGTGTCTACTTATTGAAGAAAAACACCGAATTACCAATCAATGCCGGGGTTGACAGTAAGTCGGTGTTGGGAAAGCTGGGACTTATACCTACGAACAGCGAACGCTGTGTTGTGCTGTAAAGAGCTAGTAGAACTCGTTCTTTGATCACACGTCAGTACACAGTTAACACGGGCATCCTAAATCTAATATTGAAAGAATATTTCGTTTTTATGATGAGTTTTAGGT